TGTAGCGGTAGCGGTAGCGCCCGCTACATTTAGAGCATGTAGCGGTAGCGGTAGCGCCGCTATATTTCAAAGTAGCGCTGCCCAGCTCTAAGTATGGACCATATGTTCAGTAGACATGGAGCTCAGAATTGTAGACAATTATAGTTCAGTTGCCATGCAGTTCATGATTTTAGTTTCATTAGCCATGCAATTCTTTAGCTATGAAATAATCATGATGCCACGTTGGAGGCCTGCACCAGCATCGTAATGCGGTGCCCCGACACTACGAGACTGTCGATAGCGGAGGCTCTCATCATTTAGGACGAGTCTCCTGCTATCAATTTGCAAACCGCCGGATTCGTCAGGACGTTGAAATCATTCTCGGATTAATTTGATTTTCAATTTTAAACCGTATCTACGATACTTTCTGTATGAAGTAATGTCATGTCCAAATTTCAATTTTAAGCGTTGTAATAACTCTTCACTTGCTTCATAACTTGAATATTGATATATTCGAAACGTCGCACTCCAGTAAAATGTCATTTGGTAATCTGCTTTTTGATCTCCAAGCACCTGCAAGAAATTTCGTTCGGCTCATAGAAAAAAAACAATAAGAAAATTGTTGATAAAAAGTACGCTCTGGTCTTCAATCAAACCTATATATTACCGCGACAATCATTAGTTGACGTTTTTCAATTAGTTATTTAAGGTAAAAGAACCTTTCCTGGCTGGACCTATTCTAGTAAAATTGTAAAAAGTGTCTAAAAAACATTTTTCACACCTCTAACCCTAATTCTAACCCCAGCCTATAACGAGAATTTCGTTAATTAGCATGTCGCATAATAGCGTTCATCTTTTTTTGTGTCGCACTATTAGCAAATACTGATCATAGGTAGATTCTGTAACATGGGTGCATTGCGAGATAGTAATTAGGAATTTAAAAGCAAAAACAATACCACAAAAATTCACCATATCTTTATAAGAGAAAACGTTTCGGAGTCCAGCTCCATCGTCAGTTCACAAAAATCAGTTCAGAAGAAGTTCAGATCTAGAAACACAAATACATTACGGTGGAGATAGTAATTGCGCGACATTTTGTAGCACAATGTGCCAAATATGTCGCGCTATTGTCTAAAGTATGAGTAACGTTTTGATCGAACAATTCCGCGACACGGTTTTCGGGAACTCTTAACAAACGTGTCGCACAACAACCATACTTATCAATAATATATATATACATGATATATTGTCAAAACCATGCTGATTGGCTGTTCACAACAGGCTCCACGTCCCCCAACCCCCACTCCTCATGAGGCCGTGGACAATCCCCCACTCCCCTACCGGGGAGAGCTTCGAGGCCCCCAGCGACACCCCGGGGTGCATCTCCGTCGCGGTGTTCCCGGTAATTCCTTGAATAATTAATATTATTCATCGACTCACGTCGATAAAATAATAACATAATAATAGCCTATACTACCTGCACGCACGTAAACCAATACGGAATATAAATAGGAATATATAATTAAATTATTTTTTGTAATAAATCAGGTAATAATAAACTAATATGACTTGCACGTAAACTGATTTCTTTGGACCGAAAATTAGGTATTGGTTGGAGAATTAAAATTTACAATTGTTAATTTGATTGAACGGCGTGCGGTTTCAGCTGTACAACGCATAATTGATTACCTTGAAAGGATCATAATGATAAATCATTTCCGTACGATAGTTTTATAATTCCTAGATTCTTTTTGTTTACTTCTGATGATTGCCATGTTTTACAGTGAATCTGTTGAAAAATTTTCTCGACATCTGTGTGCACTGTTTATGTAAGAGTCGTAATTACACATATTTTGTTTTACACTCACAGATGAATGGGTTAATCTTATTCTAGTTTAATATCGCTTCCTTATATCAATAATCATAATTGTTATAATTGTATTCAGACGGCACCAGCGCTTGTCAATCTAGACACGAAGCCGTACTCGGGCGCCCACGTCGAAGTATTCAGGATAATTATGCACGCCCTGAAGTGGTGGTGAGTGTGGGAAGAGGTTATATATCTAAGATATATCCCCCATTTACATATAGTTAAAATATGTCCTTAAATGATAACAGGGGGAAAGGCCATTTAAATTGGTAGTGGAAGGTGTCTAGAATATAATATTGAACCTCACCCCTCAGGTAAAGACTGGAAGAAGGTGTCAAAAATATGTAGTGTGGGAAGGCACCTGTGAGATGGGGAGTGGAAGAAGGTGCCTGGGATATAGTGTGGGAAGTACAGTAAGCACGTCTATATAGCAGATCATATCCGTAACATCAAAAGGTTGTTTCGTTAAAAAATTATCTACAAATTTATATTCAACAAAACTCAATACTAATGTGTACGATAGTGCTTGTGTTAATTTGGTAATTTATCGGTAAGATAGCCTTGATGCTGCAGCCAGCAACAATTTGTTCAGACTTCATTAAAATTGTTAACAAATTGTAAAAGTTAAGAGGCCGAAAAAAAATCTCCCCTGTGTCGCAGCTACTACTTCGTGACCGTACCTGACCTGAGCGTGGGCCTCGAGGTGAACGGCTCCTACAACGGGGCGACGGGCATGGTGCAGCGCAGGGTCTGTGGCAGTCCAATGTTGAGTGATGCCAGCATGTTGGGATCACTAAGAATTTCACATCATACAATATTGTATGATCATAAACTTTAGCCTCATTAAATATTGCAAATCACCGTATGATGTTCGGTACTCTCCGGCCTCTGGTATCAATAAATATTGCACATCACCGTATAATGTCTGATGATCTCTGGTCTCCGTCATCAATCATCACTGAATATTGCACTTCAGCATACAATATTTTAAGATCTTAACGTATTTAGTTGAGGGATCTCATCGATGAACATTTGAACTGTTATGAATTTGACTAACTCTCGGGAGACTGAGCAATAGTATTTGTCATTCATTCATGTTCAGCAATCCACATTGTTAAAAAAATCACCTTTAAACGGTATAACCGGTAATTTAGTGGCCGGCCGTAAGATGAAAAAAAAAACAGATTGTTGCCGTTTTTTCCAACTTAACACTAGAAGCCCGCACCACATCTTTAAAAAAAACGGCGATGCGGTTTATTTACACGGAGCAGCCGGCCATGTACTATAGAACGCCGGTCACACCGTTTTTTCACGGTTATTTCGAAGACTGCAGATTTTGTAATACCCGACTCGAAATGATCTCCGTTAGAAATACATATGCGATTTTTTAAACTCTATCCTACTCATAATTATAAATAGTTTTGCCGAGTAGAATGAACAGTATGTCTACTTATTTGATTCGCTTGACTTATTTCCGAGTAGGGAAAATGCACGGTGCAAAGAATTCCATATCATATGTGAATAGACACACCAAGCTCAGTCACCGGCGATATGAGCATTAATGAAATCCTTGTCATTATCGAAAGGTCTTAATAATTTCCATTTAAATTTTAAACTGCTTGCTGACGATGATTTTATAGAGCTGCCTGGCGCCAACATAGCACAGCCCTTTATCGTTAGTCTGACTTGTATGAAGGCAATTTCATAACTGGCAGTTAATAAATTGGCACAGGACAACCACCATTTATTAATTTCAATAAATTTTCTGAGCGCAGGAAGTTGACATGATGCTCGGACCAGTAGTAGTGCACTTCTTCAGGATGGAAGTACTGGACTACGCCCCAGCAGTTTTGAAAATTGATAACTACTTCCTGTACCGCCGCATCACGAGCATCCAACCTGACATCCTCATCTTAACAAAGCCCTTCATGTTCGAGGTAAGCATCAGAAAACAAATTACATGCACTTCTTTTGATTCATTAGAAATTAACGTGAGCTTGGCTCTGCGTGGCCAAATGGTTACGTTCATCAAGATTGAAGGAACGAGTTGGAAGATTCGAGACCATATATAACTGGTTGTACAAATTCTGGTCAGAAAAACAGGCCAACATGGCTTAAAAAATAGTTACTCCACTATGTATATATTAAAGGTATCACATCGCAGTTTCTTGACAATGTTTGTGAATTCAAACTAGTCTAAATATATCGATATTTGTACATAATATTAAACTTGGTCACATTTCTGCGAAAGGATGACAATCCGTCATTACATATACATTTGCGATAAAATCTGGATAAAAACAAAAAACTTATTTTCTATGTATTGATTATGGAGTAAGATTATTCAAATATGAACGTCACTATTATTACTTTCAACCCATTCAACGGTAATGACTTTTCAGATTTTGAAATTAAAATTCGTTATTTTTAAACATAAAAACTATTAACCGACGAACTCTGCACAATAGCAAAAAATTGTTAACAAATTATTATAAAAGAAAGTAATCTTTGTATTATAGGGTATAAAATTAGGTAAACATTAGGAGTAAAAATAGCGATTTAAACATTTAATATAAATTTTTTCTGAAGTATTTATTAAAATTTGATCGGGAGAATAAATTGGCACTAAATGAACGTACTATTAGTCCAAATCATTCTGCTGCCAACATTAAGGATTTAAATAAAGCCCGTTGGTCATGATCAAGATTTAAATTCAATTATTACATCACATGAACTGAAGTATTGATTTTAAGTTTTTTTAGCGACAAATTTCAGTAAAAATAGCTCAAGATATTTAGAATAGATTATAAAAATTTGGTTGGTGCCCCGAATGTTACTGAAAATATAGTCAACCTTTGATTCAAAACAAATCCTCGATTATGATCAGTTCCAATTCATCGTAACCTGAAAAAGACAAAATTTATGCAAGATAACTCGATAGTTTCAGGAACCTCTGTGATGAGATAATTACTGTTCACTAATCAACTAATGTCTATTCCTGGAATGAATTGCAGCATCTGGTGAACAATATATAAAATGCAGTAGATGAAATGTATAAATTAATTAAATTTGTACATGAATCAACTATTTTCTCAATATATGCATTCTTATCACATGAGCGTATTTTTTGTGAAGGTTTGGGTTTGCGTGCTGCTGTCGGTGCTGATTGTCGGGGTGGCGGCTGGGTTGCTGGGGCTTGCTGTTTCCCGCTTTCTGTGAGTTGGCTCCTAACTTAGTCGAAACTAGAAACTCTGTGCACAAACGGAATCCCAAGTTCAGGAGGTTGTTCCATCAAAACTCGCCTAACCCTCTACCGCCGTAGGTCACTCTCCGGGAACATTCCATACGTAAACTATTGAGTGTAGCAAACTGAAGACGTCTGTACGCAACAGAGAACATTTTGAATTGTCGTACGTGGTGGCAACCATCTGTGTAAGTCATTTTGCGCTCACTAGAACGTATCTTTTTTGGGTAGGCTTGTGTAACAATTTTGCTCCGGTTACTCACGTTCGTCGGTAGAGGGTTAAGTACACAAAGTAGCCATGTTACATGTGTAAGTTAACCGGAAACACCGCCGCGAAGTTGAAATATTTAGGAGTAGCGTGCCGACTTGGTGTAGACTTTCGTACTAATCCTAAACACAATGGCTAAAGAGTCGCTCTTTGGTCCGGCTCTAAATTCCCTTGCGTTGGAGAGAGGAGAAGGACAATGAACACAAGAAACTTTTCGTAGTATCCTGGTAATCTTCAGGCGAATTACAAGGTTCTTCATACGAGGCGCACAAATTATTATTCGTCTTAGTCCAAAAATTCACGGAAAAAGGCTTGACACTTCAGGAGTACAAACAGCCGAGAAACCACACAGTATGAGCCCTAATAAACAGTTGAGAATAACAAAATGGATAGCAAATGGTACGAGAACTAGCAGCACCGAGATGCCAACAACCAGCCGCAGAGACTAGGTGTTCTAGCCCTAATGCACCGCAAGAATCACAAAGATGGACAGCAAATGGTACGGGAACTAACAGAACCAAGATGCTAAGAATCAGCCGCAGAGACTAGGTGTTCTAGCCCTAGTGCACCGCAACGAGTCACAAAACGGACAGCAAATGGTACGGGAACTAGCCGCACCGAGATGCCGACGACCAGCCGCAGAGACTAGGGGTTCTAGCCCTAATATACTGCCAAATCGCAAAAACGGACAGCAAATGGTAATGGGGACTGATGGCACTGGGATGCCGACAACGAACCGCAGAGACTAGGGGTTCAAGCCCTAATACACTGCCAAATCACAAAACGGGCAGCAAATGGTACGGGAACTAACCGCACCGAAACGCCGATAACGAACTGCAGAGACTAGGGGTTCTAGCCCTAATACACTGCCAAATCACAAAAACGGACAGCAAATGGTACGGGAACTAACCGCGCCGAGATGCCGACGACCAGTTGCAGTGACTAGAGGTTCTAGCTCTAATACACTGCCAAATTCCGATTACTCCCGAGCGTGGAAGGTGTTGACTCCCACGACACGAGAGGCCCGAACGGTACCGCAGAAGCTGTACCAGAACGCTGACAAATATACTCGAGTGCATAGGTTATTAGTCCCCACAACACGAGAAGTGCTCGGCATGGAAACTAGCCGTACCAGAGCGCTACCAGCAACTGGAACTAACCAAGAACTCCACCTATGCCGTTATTAGTCCGTTAGAGGAACTCATAATTAAGAGACATTTCCTGAACTACGGTGGAGTTTATTCTTGGAAGCCCAGATCTGGCTACTTGAATTCGAGTCGAAACATATGCACCCCAACCCAGTAACACAGAGAACACACAACTTTCCCGCGAGGGTAACTCAGAAAGAGTTACCCTATATTGTCTAGCTTCCTTACGCAAGATGGCTGCCTAGCCGTCTTTACTGTAACGATAGTATAGTAGGTTGACAGCACTGATTCTCGGACAACAGCAAATCATTACGAGTATCACAAAAGAATTAAGTCCTTAGACAAAATAATTGCACATTAAAATGAATAAATCATAGGTCAAGTAATATTTAACGATTAACACATCATAGAAATAAGTCTAAACGTGTCAGGGCTAGCCGACGAAGCATGGCGCCTAGCAGACGATCGCAACGCAACGCTATAGACAGATATCACAGCAAAGGAGACTCCTTGTTTCAGTCATAAAATATATATATGTTTACGCATTAGTTAATCTTACACAAGTTAAATCTCTCGAGTAAAATCAGAAGCGAAACAATGTTCTAAAGAATATATTTCATACAATTGTGTTCCGTCTTACACTCAGCGGTCGATTTCTCGTCTTTGAGAGGCGGATTTAGCTTGGAAAGCCGTCATTGAATTGCTGACACTTACGAACACGTAACTATATACGATGGTACGGCATTCCGATTTTCATTCATGACCAAAACGTAACGCAAAAATCGAAGATAAATGTATCAGGCCCATCTTTGGTTAGTTTTTTGGTTCTATACTACCATTTTCAGATTCGCAAAAGTTGTACAAAACTTTAGCGGGCCCTCGCTTTTCAGTGGAAGGAAAAATTGCATTACACCGGAGAAATAATGTCAAGGAAACGGCTTTAATATACTGAGTTTACTGAATCTCAATTGTGTTGAGTGAACACAATAGTTGAGAAAAAAGAGGTTTGGCCTGAGCTGCTGCCCGGTGGAAGTCCTCGGTAAATCGGGAGCCTGAGCTTCACATGGCTAGCGCAAGCCAGCCAGGTAGCACAGAAAAACTGACGCGCTAATTTCCGTGCCGCCCATCCTGTCAAAACAAAAGCCAACTGATTTTAATGTAACGAAAGCCAAAAATGTAAAATTAAAACAAGCTGAATATTAGGGTCCGAAATATTATCAAATGCCTAAATTTACGAACCTAGTAACTATGCTCTTGAAATTCAAATGGTAATCTTAAAATAAGAGATTTATAGAACAAATTGGCTTTCTAAGGAATGTACATAGCCAGTTGGAAGACATGACTGGTTTAATTATTTGGGTTGAGAGTAGTGAAGGGAAGACTTATCCATAATGGAAAACCGGCCGAAGCCACAAGTTGCCACAACACCCTGAGCTTTAGTGACGGACAATCAACCTGCAGCATCCGGTCCTCTCCTCAGCTCTCGCAGAGACACGTCCTCCGTAAGAAGACGAACAGATGTCGCAGTCTCCAGATGGCCCCTACACCTCGAGGCCACCACCTCAGACGTGACGCACGCTAGAGATCACACTCCATAGTTGCGCCGATGAAGCGGACGAAACACGAAGGTATGGCGTAGTTGGCAGTCGACAGGAATCTGACTGGTGGGCTGTCTCTGAATCTGACTAGAGGTTGGACTTAGCTTCTAGCTTCAAATGTGGATTTGAAGAAATGCGGAAGATTGCCCACACCAATGCAAGAAATGTTGGGAAACCGTAGCCGGCCAAATAAAATCACAACTAACTCAAACCCAAACAATAAAATTCCAACTGGAAATATCCTGGTGCAGATAAGAATTTATACAAAAGTACATGCAATATTCCAAGTTATCTCGATGTTTACGTTGAATTTCATCAAGAGTTTGCACAGAGCTCGCGATGGCCATACCACGGGTCTCCGGGGTTCCCTGTCGAAGACTGAAATTGGCTCTCGAGGCTTCGTATGGGCGCTGCAGATATTTCTGTCACAAGGTGAATTACGTACTACGGATCACTATATTGTTCTGACAATTACTCCGAATTTGAATATTCATGGGTGGAAAATGCTAGTAAATAAAAGTCTATACTTGGGATTAGGCACAGTATTTATTACTTTAAATCGTACCAGATTCGAAACACTCGCCCGGCTGGAAGGCGGGGCGAACGCTTGGTGCCTTCTGGCTCTTCGTGAGCTTCATGATCGGTGCCATGTACAAGTGTAACCTCAGCGCCATCCTCATCAACGATAAGGTTGGTTAACATGACGAGCTATTGTTTCAAGAGAAGTCTGGTCTTCAAGCAGAGACGTGGCATCATGACTTGAGTGTTATCATGACGCAGTCAGTTATCGAAATGAGGTTCGAAGTTACAAGGTCGGCTTCTAGATAAAGTGTAAAAAAGTGTGATCGTCGATGAATCAAGTTTGTCAAGAAAAATTTTTTATCGTCAAGAGGAGACTGGTAATAGGAGCTAGGCAGGTTGTGATGGCGAAACTAACTGATGAGCATTGAGACAAGTCGCGTAGCCAAGATAGAATCGATCATCGAGGCAAAGTAAGAGGTCTAGCTAGATCTGGGCGAAGCAGTGCTGGTTTCATCAATTTAAGGTCGATCGCTAACGCGATCCATCCTGTTCCTGTAAAATATAACTGATAAACTGCGATTTCTGCAATTTCGTAATTCATCATTACCTCCAAATAAACTTTTATTTTTTTATCTATGTCGTTCTCATGGCCTTATATCATGGCAGGTCAAACTACCGTTCAGCAATGACGAGGAGTTCGTCAGCCAGAAGGACTACAAATTGACGTGGATCGCCGGCATGATCTATACCCCTTACCTCGAGGTATGACCAAGGCCACCTCGAGGTACCATCGAGACCGTGTTATGTACTCGATAATCACAATATTCTTTCTCTCAAAATATTATGGCGTGGTGCTTTCACCACCTTGGTGAAGCATCACCATGGGTTGATGTCCCTAAATGAAAATTGGATACTTCGTTTTTTTTTCATCGAACAAGTGTCAGATTTGATCAGGAGTCGCTAAGCCCTGTAGTTTTCACAATTCTTTGAAATTCGTGAACAATAATCCTTTTAATAATTTTCATCCGCATCCATCTGATATTTAACAGGCCAGTTATCTCGAACGTGATATTTAGCACTTTGAAGAGAGTTTATTTATTCATATACACTTCTATATTATTAGTATATGTAATGAAATGAATCAATTATCTACGAGACGTTAAGACCTGGTACCGGCAATTGATATGATAGTACACATAAAGTTTACACATTATTTCTAGCAAATTAAATCTTCACAAGGAAGGACCACGTTACACTCTAATATGAATAACTTGTGAAGGGGCTTGCGAAGACCGAACCGAATAACGTCTTGGGCAAGCTGTGGGCTCTAAGAGACGGCAACCCGACGCCCACGGCAGAGCTTGTTGACAAGATCCTAAAAAAACGAGTTACGGGTGAGTTGAAATTGTAGACATAGAGACGGGGCAGATAATGTGTATGGTATACACTGGGTGAGGCTAAACTCGGTGAAAATTTTTTTTGCGCATTTTCTCATTTATGGAAAAAAGGCGCTATTATGCTCGTCATGTCCGTCCGTCCGTCTGTCTGTCCGTGAATTCACGGACGGACGAGAAAATGCGCTCTCTGTCATTCACTGCAGTGAGTATACAGATCTAATCTTTTTATTTGATAAAGTCCTCAGGAAGAGAGTTGCGAGAGAGTTGTTACCTTGGACATAGAGTTACCGCGGGGCACATGACGTTTATACAGACTGGGTGTGGGTATACTTTATCCAAATAAAATTTTTGCTTGACATGGTCCTTATAAAAGTTGCGGGTGAGTTGAGTTGGATTTATGGGCCGATTTTTTAGCCTTTTAATCCATGGAGAACTCGCTTTTTTCATTTTATCAATGAAGAACCCATTTTTAGTTTTTTTTATCCACGGTGTACCCATTTTGATCTTTTTATTCACGGATAACCCATTTTTATCCTTTTTATTCACGGAGAACCAAAATTTTTTATCCTTTTTATTCACGGAGAACCAAAATTTTTTATCCGTTTTTAAGCGTTTTATTTTATTTTTAACTTTTTAAGCACGGTTCATTCGGCATTTGCCGCTGCTCTTAAAGGGTGTAGGCAAACTTGTGGAGTGTGGGCCCAAATCCAAATCCATGAAGGACCAACATGTAATCCGTTATATTTTATGTTGAAATTTTAGCCAGTTAATAAAAAGCCTGTACACACTTGTGTCATCGTCTGTACGCTCAAATTCTCTTAATTAAAAAACGGACCAAAGTTCTCAATATTCAGTTGGAATGTGTACTGTTTCCACGCAAGTATATATCTACGTAAGCCATGCTAATATTAGCTTATATTATATGCTGTTTATAGATAATTATATAGCCGTTGATTTGCAGTCCGAGATATCGATATGACAAGAATTACGATGCTGAAACATTGAGCAAAACATGAATGGTCTCTTCGCCATCATAACATTACTATCGTGAAGATATCGGCTCGGTAACAGTTAGATGTCGTAAACTCCAGCAGATTTTGCCATTTTTGTCACAGAAATTTTGTGAATGTTTCAGAAATGTTTGTATAAGTGTGCATTAATTGACTAATGGGAGAAACCTCATTATAATTGATAATTTTTAACAACTTGAATGCCATTTTTCTATTAAAGCGGTTGTCCCTTCGCTGTGGTCCGAAAGTTTCATGGCTGATGACTTCTCAAAGGTGAACAAAAACTGCTTTAACAAATAATATAAATCATCACTTAATTTTATTGAAAAAAAAATCAAAATTTTGATAAATTCTTGAAAATTCATCCTTCAAAAAACTTGCACCGAACTTCTCAAAATCTTCACACCAATAAAAGAACTAATTTGAGGACAAATCTCATAATATATGAACGACGAGACCTGCAAAAAATGCTAGATTTCCCAGTACGTTTTAAATTATCATAACACTTTACATAATATTATTTTCTTACATATTTTTATATTATTATGTAATATTGAATTTATGTATTGATATATATATATAATTAATAAAAAAGTTTTTAATTTTTCTTAATATTCGTTAACAGCACGGCGACTGTCACCTAGTTTCGGTCAAGTCAAACTTGGTGTATTCGTACATGACCTTTGGATATCCCAAAAACTCGCCTCTCAAGAATGCCATGGACTTCATGTATGTATTGATAATAATGACCAACGATTCTTTAATTTCGATTTACTAAAGTTTTTTCTTCGTATAGTACAATTAAACCAAATTAAACAGTTATATGGATTGAAATGCGAATCCATTGATGGAACCGCATTGATAATTATATTTCGCTGATATTTGTTTCCTTCATTTCCTGATGTACATCTTAGTAATCTTATTTTCATATGTATGTATATATATGACCATAATGGCGTGAAATATGCGATGACCATAATTATGCGTAAATCATGTACACCGAAACATTTCAATATGTTTAGGCTCAAGAAAATAACAAAATAAAAGGAAATAAATAAGTTGTCACAGAGCATTTTTACTTGTGGCAGGACTTTGCGTGTGATCGAGACTGGCCTGCCAGATTATCTACAAAAGAAGTACCTCTGGAATTCGACCTGGTGCACCAAGACTGATAATAATTTCAGTGAATCGCGGGCTCTGACAGTTAAGGACTTCCTTGGGATCTTTCTCGTCTATGGCATCGGTGAGTCACGCCTACTAATTTATCTAACAAATTTGTAACTTAATGTAACTTATCGAAGACTAACTTCAAGTAACTAATACATAACCGCGCTCGCTGACAGTTAGGACCATTTAGGGCTCTATATCAGCTATGGCATCGATGAGTCACGTCAGCAAATTCAGTTCGTTTGTGAGTATTCAGCATAGAACTTCCACATTCTCTTGTATTCCAGAGTAATTCACATTCATTGAAATTTAGTTTTTGCGTTCGGGAATACAATAAATTCTTTGTGCAAGTATAGTAGTATCATCTTCAGAAAGACTGCCTGTATCGGCTGTCCTCGTCTTTTGTTATCGCGCCATAAAATCGAACGCGTGGCGTGAGTTCTCATGCCGGAGGGCATATTTGAAATTAGCGCTGCGTACCAGAATTATCGCGAATTACAGAATACTAATATTTGTTATTACCAGATCCTAAAAATATTGCTAACATTGTTAGATAATGTAAATATTAAGACTGGCCATGATGAACTGGCTTACAATGTTGATTAAATTAACTTTTATTTAGTCTATTTGACGTAGACTATCGGCCGTGGTTCACAGGTGAATTGTACATAATTGAGGCATTAAAAGATATAAACATACTGGATCATTCTATAAAATACTCTTGAATTACTACAAAACTTTAGTTACTTTTTTTCCCGGGACTTGAATGTCATTGCTCCTTAAAATAGATGATTAGTATCTACACAAAAGAAAATAATATTATCAATTTTTATATGGCATAAGTAAAACTTTAATTCCAAATCAGTGATTACTTGGTTAAATTATATTAAATTAGAAACCTAATCATCATCTTGAAGCATTATTAACGTTAACCAGAGAGCATATTCAGAAATGACTCACAATAATAACAATATAATAATAGCGGTACCAGCGTTTATTAGGCCGTAGGCCTGTTGCCGATTCTTGACATCGCAGAACATCCACATATTGTTGCGGTCTCGAATTCTCAACTCACTGATTCAAATTCTGCTGTGCTTAACCGCCCGGCATCCTTGCCGATTCTGACCAGAAACTGGCGCACAAAGCTGGGATCGAACCCGCGCATCTCTACGCCAATCTTGGTACTCTGAACTGTAACCACTGGGCCAATAACCAATAAAATAAAACAATTTTAAGATTAAAAATAAGACTGGCCTGCGATTTGTGATTTGCATCAAGCAGGCATCGCTGTCGCTTCTGTGGTCTTTGCTGTGGAGGTGNATTTTGTCTTGACCTGCTGTAGGCATTTGGTGTTTCTCTTAATTCTTGCATAACTGACAGCTTGATTTGGTAAACTTTTATCAGGAAATGAACAAAGAAATATCCATTTATAACCACGCAAATGACGCAATATTGTTTTTTGAAGATGGCAAAATAGGCTTGTTTAAAAATTAAACAACGCGGGTTAATAGCCAAACAATTTATTGATTTGAATTTTCAGGGTCAAACTATATTCTTCAGCCACGTTGGTTGATCAAAAGGCAGGTTTAAGGATGTAAATTCAATTTATTAATGATGTTTTAAATGTAATCACATTCATTCCAAGTTTTAGGAAGCATTAAATACAGAAATTTTGGTACATGAAACACGTATATATTATTTTATACAATAAGAAAATTTGGAACTGTGATAATAACTCTAAATCAATCTCAAACTCAAAGCTTAAAAAATACGGTAGTTATGAGATGTATACCTGGAATCCTATCCGTAGACCGCAGAGATGAGGGCTTTACTTATTATCCCGCAGATGATGTCACTAGTCAGGCCATTGCAAGATGATGATGCTGGTGGGTTCTTGCAGGTAGCCTTTTGAATTCCACACAGATTTTTGAAGAAGTTGCTTTTGAGTTGCACAGATTTTTGAGATGAAGTTGCTCTATCTATTCTAAGGGTACGCACACAATGGAAGCAATTTTGCCCGCGCGGGCAACCTGCTCCAACCTGCCACAAGAATGAACATAGCATTGTAGCAACTTCCCGCCTGACTTCTTTGATCAATCCACCTAAGAAATAGTTCATTTTTGTGTTAACTTCGTTATAGCCTTTTTGCTCCTTGTCAGTTCAACACCAGCCCTGTACCAGTAAACAATAAACTTGAATCACAGCTTACTCCAGCCTCTCCCTAGCCTCTGAGTGTCTAGAAAACCTTTATTACTGCAGTTGTCAGATCAATCTTTACAGCATAATAATGTAAGTGTTCACAGTGAAAACCTGTAAGAATAGGCTTCTGTATTCTATGGTTTCGGGCGCCAGCCTGAGCAGGTAACCAGTACGCTGGCAACCTGCTTTCACTGTGTGCGTACCCTAATGCTGTGAGACATGTCCGGTGGCAAGTTTGTCTCAGGACTCAGGTGATCGATAGGATAAATGACTGATTAATGTTGTAGTAGTTATTCCAATTAAGTCCACGCAGTAACAAAGTCTACAACATTTTTTGAAGCTAAATTCATAGATTATTACAGACAAAATTATACCCCATTATTTTTTAATTTGAAGTCAACCCCAATTCGAGAATTCATTGTCTCTAATGATTGAACTTGGTTTTTTGAAAGGTAAACAAGCTGAGAAGATAACCTAGCCAATATTATAGAATCCAGATTGACTTTAATTGTAGCCCTCTGCAGGTCTGCCCAAGTTAAGAAAAAAATTAGAAAACATTCATCAATAAATGCATTATTACATTTTCCAGAAATATTTTTTAGTAAAAACTCCAAATTTATTAGTATGAAGTTGAAATGAAAAAAAGTGCACCAGTGCAACTTACTTGTATATACTAGGTCCCTTTAGTTTACTTAGTCCAAATCCATTATTGTGGTCAAATGCAAATACAATTATTAGGACTCGAAAAAATATTTAAAATCTGATCTCTAACAAGAGTTATATTCGAGAGATCAATAAAAATATAAATAATTAGAAATATATATTTTTATTATATATTACATTTACTTTTATTTTAGTCTATTTGACGTAGACCATCAGCCAGGGTTCAAAGGTGACGTACATAATTAATACAATAATTATAATAAAATAACATATAGCGGTTTCAGCGTTTATATAGCTTGTCGCCGATTCTTGACATCGCAGAACATCAACAGCTTAATTGTTGCGGGCTTGAACTCGCCACTCACTGCTTCAAATTTTCTCTGCTTAACCGCTCGGCCTCCATGCCGATTCTGACCAGAAACTGGTGCACAGAGCTTGGATCGAACCCGCGCCTCTCTGCTCCAATCCTGGTACTCTGAACTTTAACCACTGGGCCACCCTGCCCATCAAGGCACTAATATATATAAAAATGTTTTTTCATTCTAATAATACTGTTGAGACCCCCGGGCAAGACTCCCCGTGCAAGAACGGAGTGTCCGAAATTTATTAACTAGCAAGTAATGGCTCATTAATACACACTTGAAGATACCTTAAGTCAATTAAGTCCACGCAGTAACAAAGTCTACAATATTTTTTGAAGCAAGATTCATAGATTACTCCAGACAAAATTATACCCCATTATTTTTTAATTTGAAGTCAACCCCAATTCGAGAATTCATTGTCTCTAATGATTGAACTTGGTTTTTTGAAAGGTAAACAAGCTGAGAAGATAACCTAGCCAATATTATAGAATCCAGATTGACTTTAATTGTAGCCCTCTGCAGGTCTGCCCAAGTTAAGAAAAAAATTAGAAAACATTCATCAATAAATGCATTATTACATTTTCCAGAAATATTTTTTAGTAAAAACTCCAAATTTATTAGTATGAAGTTGAAATGAAAAAAAGTGCACCAGTGCAACTTACTTGTATATACTAGGTCCCTTTAGTTTACTTAGTCCAAATCCATTATTGTGGTCAAATGCAAATACAATTATTAGGACTCGAAAAAATATTTAAAATCTGATCTCTAACAAGAGTTATATTCGAGAGATCAATAAAAATATAAATAATTAGAAATATATATTTTTATTATATATTACATTTACTTTTATTTTAGTCTATTTGACGTAGACCATCAGCCAGGGTTCAAAGGTGACGTACATAATTAATACAATAATTATAATAAAATAACATATAGCGGTTTCAGCGTTTATATAGCTTGTCGCCGATTCTTGACATCGCAGAACATCAACAGCTTAATTGTTGCGGGCTTGAACTCGCCACTCACTGCTTCAAATTTTCTCTGCTTAACCGCTCGGCCTCCATGCCGATTCTGACCAGAAACTGGTGCACAGAGCTTGGATCGAACCCGCGCCTCTCTGCTCCAATCCTGGTACTCTGAACTTTAACCACTGGGCCACCCTGCCCATCAAGGCACTAATATATATAAAAATGTTTTTTCATTCTAATAATACTGTTGAGACCCCCGGGCAAGACTCCCCGTGCAAGAACGGAGTGTCCGAAATTTATTAACTAGCAAGTAATGGCTCATTAATACACACTTGAAGATACCTTAAGAATAATCGTATGACAGATATTGCTTAAATCTAAAAACGCGACCTGAGCAGGTGGGTCGAGGTGCGGCAGGTAGAGCTGGAGATGGGTCAGGATACTGCCCACTGGAGGTGCGTGGAAGATGTGGGGGCGGTAGGGAGGGCCGCGCCCTCCCTACAGAAAGTCGAAGTCAGAAGTTCGAAAGTTTGTTTGAGGATTTGTACTCAACACGTGCAGCACGCGGCTCTTAGCAATGGGTTTTTTCCACCCAGATCAGGGTTTTTTGAACCTCTCCTGGGTTTCTCGTGTAAATTTTTAGAAATATATTTATCATTCTTTGTTGCTGGAACAGTAAACACTGCTATAAAATATATTGGTTTACTTCCCTTAGGCACGAATAACGAACAGCAAGCTTGCAGCTTGAGAGACATGGTTGCGACGAGAGAGTTATGAATGAGAAATCTTGCGTGGAAAAATGTCCAGAAGTTTGTGTCGAATGGGAGCTGAATTTTAAATATTAAATCCAATAAACTGTTTGGGTTGATCAGACGCTCCTACGAGTGCCTAGATGCAGAAGCGATGAAGCTGTTGTTTGTTGCTGTCGTGCGCCCGAATCTAAAGGATGGAAACGCTGTTTGGTCACCGAAACTTGAGAAGGACAAGAATTTAGTCGTGTGTGTTCAAAGACGTGCAACAAGGATTTTTCCAGGCTTCAAGGGCAAGTCTTATGAAGAAAGATTGGAAATTATGAAGCTTCCCAGTCTCTGTTATCGACGTCTGAGTTATGACCTCATTGAAGTATACTGTACATGTATGATGTATATCAGTGGTTTATAAAGGTCTCAGGATTACTAGAACTTGAAACAAGAACCAACATCAGGTATCACAGCCAAAAACTAAAAAATAGCGATGTAACTCATCCATGCGACAACACTTTTTCGCGCTTCGAGTCACAGATATGTGGAACAGCCTCCCCTGATGATATTGTTGACGCTCCGAGTATGAACGCGTTCAAGAAGACTAGACAAGACTACGCAGGAGCATATGTTTAGTCTTGAAATGCCTCGTACATAACGGAACAATAAAGTCTAGAAACGATTTCAAACCACCGTCTGTTGAAAAGATTTGATCAATAGGCCTGTTTTTTAGATCTGTGAAAAAGTCACAAAAAACACAAGAATAGGCGACAGTCCTATCAAGGCTTATTCTTCAACGCCGAAGATACTATTCTACTAAATAAAATGAGTTTTATTTGTGAAATGTACATTTGTGTTTAACCTCTCTTTATTTAAATTGCTGCATACCAAATATTAAGGATGAGGTGTTATTTCCGTGAGTTGGTGGGGGGGGGGGGCGCTAGGAATTCACTGAGTAGCAAAGGGGGCGCCACTGGGTTGAAGGTACTTTGGAAGGTATCATTTGCGAGTGTTGTTGCGACCCGCTGGAAGATGGAACACGTGAGATTTTTAAAACGCGGTAGAGTAAGAAGTTACAGCTTTATGGGAAGGGATTTTCGGTGTAGAAGTAGTGACAAGTGTAGGAGAAGTTGCAGGTAGAGGAGAAGTTAATCGAGCATGTTTCAGCCTGTCGATAGTGAATGCCGTTTCGCCTTATAGAAGTTTGAGTACGAAAAATTTTGGTTCTCGTCGAATTCCCTCAAATGGGCCTTGATATGGCGCTTCTAGTGGTTTACGGACCCTATCTATCCGCAACCAAACCTTGGGTGCGATGCAGAAATCCGCGGGGAGCCTAACTGGCGGAAGGGAGTGGCAGTCGCCGTCAGCAAAGTTGTGGAAGTCTATCTTTCCCATTTCTCGTACTAAGAAGTCAAGGGTGTCGGAATTAGTTGGGTTAGTAGTGTCGGCACTTACAGTCTGCTGAGGGCAAAACATGTAGCTGTCTCTTATACACATCTAGATGTGTATAAGAGACAGCGTCTGGTCTCTGCACGTCTGGTCTCTGCACGTCTGGTCTCTGCACGTCTGGTCTCTGCACGTCTGGTCTCTGCACGTCTGGTCTCTGCACGTCTGGTCTCTGCACGTCTGGTCTCTGCACGTCTGGTCTCTGCACGTCTGGTCTCTGCACGTCTGGTCTCTGCACGTCTGGTCTCTGCACGTCTGGTCTCTGCACGTCTGGTCTCTGCACGTCTGGTCTCTGCACGTCTGGTCTCTGCACGTCTGGTCTCTGCACGTCTGGTCTCTGCACGTCTGGTCTCTGCACGTCTGGTCTCTGCACGTCTGGTCTCTGCACGTCTGGTCTCTGCACGTCTGGTCTCTGCACGTCTGGTCTCTGCACGTCTGGTCTCTGCACGTCTGGTCTCTGCACGTCTGNCTGTCTCTTATACACATCTAGATGTGTATAAGAGACAGGATGAGAGGGATGCTTGAAGATCAGAAAAGTATCATCAATATACCTATTATAAAAAATCGGTTTAAAATCAATGGGACAATCGGCCAACCAAGAAACTTCATGAAAGCACATGAAAATGTTAGCGAGTGTGGGACCAAGTGGAAGGCCCATTCCTAAACCATCAACTTGCTTATAAAGTTTACCAGCGAAAATGAAAAAAGAGTTCATGACTGATAATTCTAAAATCTTTTTGAAAAGATTGCGGTTAAGACCGATCACCAGATCATTCACATCCTTGAACAAAGAGTTGAGGCAGATTTCAATAGTTTCTGCATCTGTCTCTTATACACATCTAGATGTGTATAAGAGACAAGCCATAGTCAGGTGCTGAACATCGGTAAAATCTTTCAAACGGTCGACAAAGGAGTACGTATTATCAAAAGTAAACTGGTTAGTAGTTAGACAATTCAAAACGGGCACCAAAAATTTAGCTATGTTAAAGCTCGGGGTATTATACGCAGTAAAAATAGGTCGAAATTGAAATTTCGCTGCGAAATCAGGGGCTTATGAATCTTAGGAAGGCCGTACAATATGCCAGGGCTTTGAATTTTAGTTGAATTTTATTACTATTGTTCAGAATTTTGAAGCATGTAATTTATTTAAATTCTTAAATCATCTAGCTAGAAATTTAGTTTCAGAGTCAAAGCTCGAATCTACATCCTTGGTAAAAATAAAATTATTTAGCTTCTATGAATCAGTAATTCCGCCATCATTCAAAGCAATTTGAATAGTACACAACTTCACCAGATTGATATATAATTGTACGCTTGTCCATTGTTACTTCATTCATATCAAAATTACTAGACCTTGAAGCTATGTTTAAGGGGGGAGGGTATACCCTAAAGTTTTCGGATTTGACTTTTCCGGTTTTAGTCTCAACTTAAAGCTGACATTCTGACCTATTCAACGGTACCATTACCATCTCTGTACGTTGATTTATGCGTTCACGACAGATCAAGAAAGGGGGGAGGGTAGGGGAGTTCTTTAAAAAATAAGATAGGAGGTAATTCGGTGCCCAGCACTTTAAATAGTGTGTCTGCTTCAGCTGCAGCTCGGTTACCCGCCTAGCGCCGTATGAAGAGGTGTGCATGCAGTCGCTCCCACCATTTTTGACTGGAATCAAGCTCCAGTAACGTTTAGTTTCGTATCCTTCCTACATTGAGTGCCATTGCGATGCGCGCGGGACTTTGTCGCGCTCTGCTGGACATTCACACTTATTGTCACGGCAAACCTATCTTCTCCTAGAGTTTTGAAGCTACAGCAATGAGACATATATCATTCGATTCGTAAAGACCAAACCTATCGAGTTATTGAGCCTTTTTTTCGATTTGTGCATAGTTTGGATTCAAAATAGGGGGAGGGGGGAAAAAATTTGAAGAAAATGAGATAAAATGAGATGTAAACGGAAAAATGCGTGTAAAAATACTAAGGCAAAAATAAAAAAGAGCTCGATAACTCGATAGGTATGGTCTTTACGAATCGAACAGTATTTGTCTCATCGCTGTAGCTTCAAAAATCTAGGAGGAGGGAGATAGATTTTTAAAGTACCCCCTTTTTGTTCCTTTTCTATGAATTTCACGTTTTCGATTAATTTTTTTCGAAAAAATCATACGAACAAAATGTGCTTGTATTTCTGTTTTACATATATGTGTGAAGTTTCAGAAAGATCTGTTAATAAATGTGGAAGTTTTTCTGAAGGAAGTTTTTACTCCCCCCCCCCATAAGCCAATCGGAAGAGCTTCAGTCGTAGAATTTCAATGACGAATTTAATTCCTCAACTCCAGCAATTCTGCTATGAGGCGAGGCAATCATATGCGGCCGCAAAAAGGTCGGGCTTTGAGCCGTATAAATAAACGCGCTTGCGTGTCCCCGCCCTTAAACGAGGCTGTTGGCCCGATCAAGAACGTACAATTTGCGGCCACAGATTCTACCGACAGTTGAAGACCAAATTCGTAAGATGGGGCCATTCTCTTTAATTTTGGGGCATACCTTCGAACTTTCTTTGTATTCGTAAACTGACGAAAGTGTCTATTGGCGATTCGACGTAGACGTGAAATGTATTAAGATTGTCATAGGCAGCACCATTATTCTGATTTTTATGAATAGGCGTTTACTATTTCAGTAGTCATTCATCTTGTTGTTATAACAGTTTTGAGTGTCTATTCTATTTTGGTAAAAAACACATGATATAAATTGTAATGACTACATAAAATTTTGTAAGGACATGAGCTGACGTGATGCATGCATTTCAAGAAAGGAATTTGTTGTTGGGTTGATAATTCCTTTGTCGATCATTAGAAGTTCTGAAGTTGAGAAGGTAAGAAAAGGGTTAGATATATCGAGATGTAACCATGAATATTAATAACAGAAAGAAAATTAGGTAGACACGAAACGCAGAAACAAAATCTCGTGTAAGCTTCTGACATTAAACAAAAAATGAAGTGAGCTATAAATATAGTAGACATGACGTTCAGTAAAGACCATAAGTACAGTAGACATGACGTTCAGTATAGACTATTAGTATAGTAGACATGACGTTCAGTGTAGACCATAAGTACAGTAGACATGACGTTCATATAGACTATAAGTACAGTAGACATGGAGCTCACTATTGTAGACAGATATAGTTCAGTAGCCATCCAGTTCATGATTTATAATTTCATTAGCCATGCAATTCTTTAGCTATGAAATAATTAAGCCCTTCATGAATTATAACAGACATTATATGTTGTCAAAACCTTCAATGCCGATTGGCTGTTTACAACAGGCCCCACGTCCCCCAACCCCCCACTCCTCATGAGGCCGTGGACAATCCCCCACTCCCCTACCGGGGAGAGCTTCGAGGCCCCCAGCGACACCCCGGGGTGCATCTCCGTCGCGGTGTTCCCGGTAATTCCTTGAATAATTAATATTTTGCGATTCACATCCGTAAAATAATCACACAATGGCTTATATTACCTGCACGTAAACTAATACCTTATTTAGACCGTAGGGAACATATAATATAGAATTAAATTATTTTGTAATTAATCAGGTAATAATAAATTAATTTGACTTGAACGTAAACTGATTTTTTTTGGACCGAAGGAAACACGGCTGGGAAAATTAAAATTTGTAATTATTATTTCGTTTGAACGTCGTGCGGTATAAGCTATACAAAGGATAATTGATTACCTTGAAAGGATCATGTTAATAATTCATTTACTTACGATAAGTTTTATAATTTCTGTAGTATTTTTTGCTCACTTCTATGATTAACATGTTTTACAGTGAAGCAAATGAAAAATTTCCTCGACATCTGTGTGCATTGTTTATTTAGTAGTCGTAATTACACAGATTTTGTTCTACACACCCAGGATAATGGGTTAATCTTATTCTCATTTAATATCTCTTCCTTACATTAATAGTCATAATTATTATAATTGTATTCAGACGGCATCAGCGCTTGTCAATCTAGACACGAAACCGTACTCGGGCGCCCACGTCGAAGTATTCAGGATAATTATGCACGCCCTGAACTGGTGGTGAGTGCGGGAAAAGGTTATATATCTAAAATATATCCCCCATTTAGATATATAAAAAATATATCCTTAAATGAAAACAAGAGTGTAGGGCATTTAAGTGGGTAGTGGAAGAAGGTGTCTAAAATATATAATTAGTTTTGGAAGTAAATTAAGCACGTCTATAGCAGATCATTTCCGTAACACCAAGAGGTTATTTCTTTAAAAAATTATCGACAAATTTAGATTCAACAAAACTCAATAGTAATGCGTATGATAGTGCTTGTGTTAATTTGTTCATTTAACGGTGAAATAGCCTTGATGCTGCAGCCTGCAACAATTTGTTCAGACTTCATAATAATTCTTGTTAATTAAAATTGTAAAAGCTAAGATGCCGGAAAAAATCTCCCCTGTGTCACAGCTACTACTTCGTGACCGTACCCGACCTGACCGTGGGCCTCGAGGTGAACGGTTCCTACAACGGAGCGACGGGCATGGTGCAGCGGAGGGTCTGTGGCAGTCCAATGTTGAGTGATGCCAACACGTTGGAATCACTAAGAATTGCACATCATACAATGTTACAATGTTGCATGATCATAAACTTAGCCTCAGTAAAAAATGCATATCATCGTATGAAAAACTAAGTTAATTCCCAGAGTTTAAATCAGTCTTTGTTAAGAAGGATGCTCCCCTTTAGAGAGAGCAAATTTTCGCAAGAAATGGCAGGAGAGACTTAGGCGGAAAAATGCGGAGACTCAGGTCAGCCACTCTCACGATGTCAAGACAACACCGGCCGCACACGGTTAGTCAGCGGAGCTGGTAGACAAGTAAGAAGTCATGTCCATAGATTCAGGACTGAAAATAATGTGAGAAGTAAACTCATGCATCCAAGTGAAAGTGCACAAAAAGTTTTAAAATGTTTTTATACGAACTCTCATTTTGTTTTGAACAAGAAAAATGAGCTGTTAACTGTGATCGAAAACGAGTGCATAGATATATTTGTATTACAGAAACTCTCGCTAAAAATCACGGCGGGAAAATTGTACCTGTTGAATTTCAGTTGCCAGGTTTTGATTGTTTTCATAACTTAAATGAAGAGCTGTGCAGTAGAGGTGTAGCTTTGTGGGTTAGAACCTCTTGTGGGGCCCAGCAAATCAAGTTATCTGCACAGCATCAATCAGCTAGAGAATCAGTGTGGTGCGAACTTTCTCTCAAACAAAGGCAAAGATAGCCTCCTCGTAGGCGTCGTGTATAGATCACCAAACAGTTCCTCTGATAGTGATAAAGTACTAAACAGTCTTTTACCGACCATGGCTTTCCGTAGGTCACATACGTTGATCGTTGGTGATTTTAATCATCCAGAGCTAAACTGGACAGAAGGATCCTCTCCAAGGGATGAGAATCACCCAGCATCCGTGTTCATGGAGTCATTGAGAGAC